CTACCAAGGGATAAGGAGACTCCAAGGGGGAATTTGAAAAAACAAATACATCAAGCATAACCCTAATTCTTTCATACAACAATAAAAAGACCTCAATAAGAAAAAAAACACAAGAAATGAAAGAAGGGAAGGGCTGTCCTACCAAGGGATAAGGAGACTCCAAGGGGGAATTTGAAAAAACAAATACATCAAGCATAACCCTAATTCTTTCATACAACAATAAAAAGACCTCAATAAGAAAAAAAACACAAGAAATGAAAGAAGGGAAGGGCTGTCCTACCAAGGGATAAGGAGACTCCAAGGGCAGGATACGACCAAAGCACCACCTGTCGTCGGATATTGTCCTACCAAGGGATAAGGAGACTCCAAGGGGGAATATGAAAAAACAATACATTAAGCATAACCCTAATTCTTTCATACAACAATAAAAAGACCCCAATAAGGAAAAAAAACACAAGAAATGAAAGACACACACACACACACATTTTTGGCGGTCCGATTCAGTTGTCCCCTGGATTGGGATTTTAGGGAACTGGCGGACCGGTTCCTTTCTTCAGCCCGACGGTGAAGCCAGCTGCCTTTCCTAGCCCCGTGTCAGATTTGCTGCAGAACTTTCTGCTTGAGCATAAATTTTTTTTTTTTTTTCATGTGATGCATATATGAAAATATATGCTCATAAAACTAGAAGTAGACAAATTGTTGTCTAGAATTTTTCCTGTCGTGAATGTTTCATGTATGCTGATAAAACTGGAAGCAGACAAATTGTTGTCTACAATTTCTCCTGTCATGGTTGTTTTTTTGAGATATTTTTACACGTTCAGTCATGATTGCTGTAATATTTTCTTTTTGGTTGCTGCATATATGTATTAAATAACACAATCAGGTACCATTACTGCACCCTAGTTTGGGTGCATGTTGTGTAATCCTTTTTTGTCATTAATTATTGAGCTGCTATATGCTTTGTGTCTATTCTTATAAATGCAGATGACATTTCTAAGTGGCAATTTTTTTGTGTTTCATGTCAAATTTTAATTGTTTCTTGAAGTCTAATTTGATAATTGATCATTTTTAGGTCATGTTTAGCAGGCCAGTTCGCTGGATATTGGCTTTACATGGTGATCTTGTTATTCCGTTCAATTTTGCAGGAGTTTCAAGGTAACTTGCTTCACATGTCCACACTACGAATGATATTTTTTTAAGGGTGCAATGTTTTATAGCTCTTTCTATTCGATTTAACTGTTATGATTTTGGTTTTGAAGCTTTTTTTCTTCTTCAATTATTTCTGCTTTTTATTATCCAGTTATTTAATTATTGTGATAAGAAGTAATCATTAGAAATGTGTTTATTAAATCTACAACGCCTTAAAATTTAGCCTTTTGTGCCATCACCCGACATGACACTTCGAATTAATAGGCAGATACAAACGGTCGGATTGTGGGAAATAAAAAATTCTCTATACTTCTTTTTTGTATAACTAACATTTATTTAATGAAAGAGCCCTAAATAGAATAAGTTAAAACAATAAAATTGAATTTACCTCATTACTTGTTGTGCACACCTTCTATAAACACTTCCTCTTCTATCTCTTATCTTCTAAATTAATTAATTGAAGCTGAAATATTAGTTTTAAATAACAATGAGTTAACAATAGCCAGTGAATCCTCGTACTCTTAAATTCTAGTAGCACAATGAAAAATATACATTATGCATGCCAGCTAAGCCCTTAATAAATCAGTAATAAAATATTTATTAGCTTATGAATATGATTACTCACGATATTTTATAATATTTAATGTATTTTACTGTATTAATGACATGTCTATATTATTTATATCTATACAATTGTTACATGAGCACCAATTAAGAATTGTATCAATTAAGGTATTTCAATATTAATATCATTTTTTTCATTTACAATCACGGGTAACTTAGTGTTTTCCCATTAATATCAGAAAAGAGTGACAATTATAAAAATACATGCTCATTCGAGCAATCCAAATAATAAATCTCATTGTTATTTTATTTTCATCACATTTAGTATATATTATAATAACTTGAGTTTTGCAAATGACATGACATAAAAAAACAGTATCATCTAATTCAATATGATCAAATGAATTTAAAGTGCAGGTGAAGCATATCTAAACAATTAACAGAGAGCATTAGCTTTTGAAAAAAAAACAAATTACTATAATTTAGAAGTAGAAATACTTATATCGATTGCAGATGCTTTGCTTCATCTTAAGTTTTATCACTCCTTTCAATTTAAAATTTATAAAATATAAATTATTCTTGTTACTAATTTTTATCATATTACTTATTTATGTTTTAGTTTAATTATTATTGTATTACATTATTTTAATGAAGGTTTCAGTGCTTTAACTCTAAATTTAATCATTGCAATGAATATTAAATATATTAATTTATACAAAATACTTTCGGAAATAAAACCCTAATTTTTCTTGTTGTCGCCAATCTTGCCTCGATACAAAAGTGGAACTTTTATGGCCTGAATCAATTGCACTTAAATTTAATATTTAAATAATAAACATATTTTTTATTTGAAAAAGCCCTAGGGCAATTATATTATAGAGGAAAATGTACAAATATGTTGTATGAATGGGCCTAAAAGAAGGCTCAACCCACAGGATACAACACACAAATTTTAAAAAAGGATAAGATACATATAAGATCAAAAAAACAAAACCACCAACGTGCGAAAAAAGCTAGGGACGAGTTAGTTTAGTCCTGTTTCTGCCTCGAGTTCTCGGAAGGGAGCCGACTAACAAATTGGTGAGGTGCGTGCTATTACCCGAAGTAACGAAAGTATCATCCATGAGATTTCTGAGCTCAAGTAGGTCTCCATTCTTCTTTATTCTTCGGGATGTGTAAACTTGTCATTCTTCATCCGAGGATTGACTCATCTGATCAGTGGATTAATCCAAAGGTGGCCAAACAGGTGTAGGCTGTTACACATCATGAACCCCATGTGCTTGAGTAACATTAACATCATGCTCGACTTGATGAGATGGTAGAGAAATAGTAGCAATTTTTGTCACCCATAACATCACTGATAAGTTCTGGGGCAGATGAAGTCTGAAGTGTCACCCTCGCCCCCACGAAAGGAGGTTCCAAAGATGG